GTAAAAAGATACGAAGCTTCTGTAAAAATGTGATTGGTTGTTGACATATGTAGAAAATGTTCTGTAAATATCGAAAATTCAGTTAATAAGATTTTTAAGATTAAGGTTAGTATGCATTTTTATTTATGTTAGTATATAAATGTATCTTATATGTATATCATATAAATATCGAATGATATTATTTGAGAACACCTTGTATAATAATTTGTGTTTGTCCTTTGTGTCATAGCCTACTCACCTAAACACCCACAAAGTCTTCACAAACCTATCTCCTGTCCGTCTACCCACATAACTCGTTAAACCACCCACTCGATTTCTATACTTTGAGATATCATATTCTCGGATGGCCCTGAGAAATAACTATAATAAAGTATATGGGAGACATGGGGTATTTCCCATAATGCATCTGTATTGTGTTTAGAATATTTTCACGAAAGAGAATAATTTCAATAGAAAACAAAACAAAAAATAAAGTACATTTTTTTAAAAAGATTATATTCCTGTGTCAACTATTGCAACCTTTAAAGGAAGAAGGACATTGGCTAACGTAGGCATACATTGGTTGGCTTTTTTTTTTTATACACGTTGCAAAGTCACGTTGCAAACAGACATTTAAGCTTTATTATATTCAAATATACGTGCATTTAATGCCCTAAAGTATATACATTCTACTATGTACGACCCACGTTTTATATATACGTATATACATGTATATAATATAAGAAGATTGTAGAGTAGTATGTACTCTATCGTGGATAACACATACAAATGCAAGAAATAAGTTCTAGAACAATTATTTCTTTTTATATATTATAAAGATAATCTAATCTTTGTGTTTTCTTTTTTTCTGTTATACAGAGATAAGAGTGATATTATTAGGACCTTGAATAAGTTCTCGCTGTTTCATCAAAGATGGCAATAGCAGTACTCCGTGCTTGAAATTTCTAATGGTAACGTACTTGCAAGGAAGTATATTGTATCTAACCTAAAATTTCAGTGTATGATAGTTTACTTTAACGTAAACAAAGTAATTTTTTATTAGTTTTAAAAATGTCTACTTTTGTGCCAACTAAAGTGTATTTGCGGGGAATTTTATTGTACTACTTCGTTCAAAAGAAATCGGCAGCTGAAGCACATAGAATTCTTGTTGAGACTTATGGTGACAATGCTTTGTCGGGTACGACATGCAGAGACTGGTTTCAAAGCTTCAAAAATAATGATTTTGAACTTGAGGATAAAGAACGTTCTGGCGCACCAAGACTCTACTCTGTCAAGACAGAGAATTGGAGGAATTACTCGATGAAGACCGATCTCCTTACCGAAAACATTACAAGTTGATGAGTCAACTGTTTCAAAACGTTTAAAAATGTTACGAATGATCCAGAAGCAAGGACATTGGGTGCCATATGAATTGAAGCCAAGAGACATTGTACGGCGTTTTGTTATGTGTGAACTACTGCTTCAATGGCAGAAAAGAAAAGGTTTTTTGCACCGTATCATGACTGGCGATGAAAAATGAATACACTATGATAATCTAAAGCGTAGAAAATCATGGGGTAAGCCTAGCCATGCATCAACATCGTCCGCAAGACCAAATATCCATGGTTCGAAGCTTCTTCTCTGTATTTGGTGGGATCAGTAGGGTATAATTTATTATGAGCTGCTCAAACCGAATGAGACTATCACGGAGGATCGCTATCGACTTCAATTGATGCGTTTGAGTCGAGCTCTAAAAGAAAAATGGCCGCTATACGAGAAGAGACACGACAAAGTGATTTTGTTACATGACAACGTCCGGCCTCATGTTGCAAAACCAGAGAAAACCTACCTGGAAACGCTTCGATGGGAAGTTCTACCCCACCCGCTGTATTCACCTGACATAGCTTCTTCCGATTTTCACCTATTCCGTTCGATGGCACATGGCTTAGCTGACCAGCGTTTTCATTCTTACGAAGAARCTAAAAAATGGGTCGATTCTTGGATAGCCTCAAAAGACATGTCGTTTTTCCAACGCGGAATTCATATACTGCCAGAAAGATGGGAGAWAGTGGTCTCTAATGATGGGCAATACTTTCAATAAAACATTTTTATTCCTTATATTTTAAATAAAGTTTTGATTTTGTAAAAAAAACAGCGAAATCTTATTCAAGGTCCTAATACATTATTTTGAAAATGTATCAATCAACGAACAATTGATTATATAAACATTTGTATAAAAGTAAATTATGTGTTTTTATTTTGAAAATGTTGTAAATACCATTTTTGTAGATTAATTCACCAGTTAACTGGTGAAAGTGAACACCGATGTGTGTCGCACAAATCGACCAATCACGAGTATATTCGTTAAACACAGAGTAAGTAAGTGTCCCATACAACTGTTTTCACGTATTTGCGATAATCTGACAAAAAAATATTTCAAACAAAAGTTGAACTGTTTTTGATTGACTATACATTGCAATGAAAATAAATTTACAATAATTTTTTGTTTAATGTTTTTTAAGGCTTCCTTTATCTTTTTTTAAATGGCACCCTATATTTTTGATTTTACAGTATTATAACCCGTATTAATACGAATGCAACGAACTAGCACCATTCCAAAATAGAAATTTAAAATTTTTTTACTTTATTTGTATTATTTTTACGTTTTTCCTTTATTTTGTAATATTTATTAAAAATTTTTCATATTTTTTATTTGTTTATTTTATCAAAATATTCTAAACATCGTGAAATTTAAGAATATGCTTCATTTTCTTCAAAAACTACAATTTAAATAGCCAATGGTCATTACTTCATACGCCTGACGAATATACTCGTCATGACCCAGAATCCTGCTTACTTTTCATGACGAGTATGCTCGTGAAACTCAGTTAACTGGTTAAACAATAATCGCAAAATGTGTATGGTAATGTTGTTTCCTTTTGTTTACGGTAAATGTGCGGCCTTAAGTTGGGTCGGGTCGGGTCGAGACGAGCTCACGGCGAATGAATTCTCGATGGAAGATGTGCAGGGGAACTGTGTGAGGGGAACTTTAGCTGTTTCCTTCTTTATCGCGTGCGTATACACCTCTAATGTCTAACGGTTCCGTTCTAAGAACGAGCAACTTCCTGAGGCACTACTAGCGTTAAGAAAAACGTCGAGATGTAACAATGCCGGTGACCCAACATACACACATACACACATATACACATGCATACATACATACATACAAACGCGCGCACTCTCATCACTTTTTCCTCATTCTGATTAATTTGTACCGTTTATTTTTAAAAAAGGGCCCAACTCTATTAATCTTTGAATCGAGACAGGTATTGAAGGGTTTGAATTGGATTAATGCACTTTCCAAATCGTAATAATTAGGATATGGTTTCTTATGTTGGTTGTTTAGGTTGTCCTGAAAATTTCTTCCTTTTTTTTTATGACAAGTTGCACAATATTGTATGTGTAATATTTTGTATTACATGTTATTTTATTAAATAATATCGATTCTACTCTATATTACCTTTTTCTTTACTGTATATTATTCAACATAAAAAATATTGTGTTTAAATATAATTACTAAAATATATATATATATATATATATATATTATATATTATATTATATTATATTATATTATATTATTATATATTATATATATAAATTTATTTATATATACAATAATTATAATTATATTAATATTAATTCATATATGTATAATATGTTTATTAAATATTCTTCTTCTTCTTCTTCTATATTAAATATTATTTTATTAAATATATTATTATAATATTAATCTTTATATATATATATCTATATATATATATATTTCTTCTGTGCACGTTTATGTAATTGATCTCCTCCTAAACGACTGGACCGATTTTAATGAAATTTTGTGTGTGTCTTAAGGTGGATTCGATAATGGTTTTGCGTTACAATTCGGTTCAATTTAAGTTGTTTATTTAATTAATTTTAATATTTATAAATTGTTATATGCGAAAAGTTTATAGGTTAAAGTTAGTCGATATTCGAGTTATAGAGAATATTCGAGTCGATAATCAAAGTTATTCGATTCCAATTTGTAAATCATAAAGTTTATAGGTTGAAGTTAGACGATATTCGAGTTATAGAGAATATTCGAGTCGATAATCGAAGTTATTCGATTCCAGTTTGTAAATCGTGTGCTAATTAAAATATTACATTAAGATCTAATTAATGTTTGAAGAGTTTTGAAGTGTGCATAAAAAATTATACATTTTGCAAATTTAGTGCGGAATTGAAGCGAATATTTTATATAATTTTTTATTAAATTTACACGTTTGTAAAAAATTCAATTCTTTATATGTCATGAACTCCTCCTAGAGACGGCTGGACCGATTTTAAAAGTTTATAGGTTGAAGTTAGTCGATACTTTTTGTTGATATTATACTTTTCGATATATTCGATATATTTCTCTTATCGTTTTCTTCGTGTTATTATTGTGTTACAAAAAATCGTGTGCTAATTGAAATATTACATTATGATCTAATTAGTGTTTTAAGAAGTTACTCAATTGACACTGTTGTCAAGATTTAAAAAATCCGTGTTTTTCTCACGGCCAATTATATGTTGCGTGTTTCAGGGTTGGAAAATCATCGAATTTGTTTGTGTATACTCCTGAAGGATCAACCAAAAATATTGTACATCCAATGGCATTACGATAAATTAAATTTTTGYTTYAACTTTTTCAACTTTTATTAAAATAATTTTAAGTGAATAATAATTAGACTTCATTGAACAGTTTAAAATTATATTAAACGAACGTATCAATCTGATTCTAAAGAAGTTTTCACGTCAAAAAAGTCACAGCAACGCGTGACCGGGGGGAGCACCCCTAGTAATATATATAATTATATTAATTAAATATAATTATTTAATAAAAAAAAACAAAAAAAAGAAGAAAAACTTTTGGGACTATCTAATATCATATAGAAACACAATAAAATACAAATACAAATAAAAATACAAATAATAAATCAACTCACCGATGATGATTCGTCTTTTTGGTGCATCTTTCTTTGTTTCCGGGAGTTCTCAGTTTGAAGTAACTTCGAAAGCTTCTCGATCTCGCGACTCTTTCCTCGCATTTCGTCCATCTACGATTAAAAAGAAAAAGAAAAGATAATATAAGAGTAAAATATCTGAGTGCGTGAATGCGTGAGTGCGTGAGTGCGTGCGTGCGTGCGTGCGTGTATTTGTATGGTCGAGAAAGGATCGATACACCTCGCATGGCGAAAGTTGCAAAAAGTAAAATGAAACACGATTCGATCTCCTTCTGTTGCTTTCTGTTTGCTCTTACACACTTGTAAGTAAGAAATAAGAAAATAAAACACACAAAGAGAGAGAAAGAGAGAGAGAAAGAGAGAGAGAGAGAGAGAGAGAGAGAGAATTGGTCCCTTTCGTGTACCGCTTTCGAGAAGCTCTCACCAAGAGAACAGTTCTGGTCCCTCTGGAGGGGCCTTCTTTTTTACCTTCACCTTAGCAACGCGCGAATTTCGAACTTGTATCATCGAACGCCCTATTCCTCCGAAATATGCATTCATGTGGTAGGAAATAAAACCGATGTGCGTTGCACGTTTATGGGCTTCCTTACGATAACGAGTAAAACGACTTCCATTAAAGTGAAGTGCCCTCAAAGTAGCAAAGAGTAGTAGTAGTATCCTTTAGATACTCTAAAGTAAACTTGGTGAGAGTTCCCCCTCCCCACCCTCCAACCCAACTCCTGTATGACGATTACGATTCAATCGGAAATTCGACGAATTTTTATTCATTCCAATCATTCTTTTCAATGTATCCTTGTAATTTGTTTTTTTTTTCATCATAAATTGTGAAATCATTGAATTTATTTTATTATATATATATATATTAGGTCCACCGGAAAATTCTGTCCGTTGAAACAAACATTAGTTCAATTTTTCATATTAGGGGTAAGGCCCCATTCCTTCAAATGGAAAATAAAAAATTGCCACCATATTGGGAAGAGTTCAAAAGAAATTAAATTAATTATTTGTTGAAATTATGAATAATTTATTATTTTATTTAATTTTTCAAATAGACAGAATTTTCCAGTAGATCTACATATATAATTATATTTATTTATTTTATATATATATATTAATATATATTTTTATAAATATATTTAAAAAATATATATTTTTAATAAAATCATATATTTAATAAAATTAAATATATATATTTAATTAAATATTAATAAAATAATATTCAATATATATATTATAATATATAATTAATAAAATGAAGGAAAAAAATTATCTATAAATTTACATTCATATTAATATCAATATCAATCGGTGAAGCAGGTTACTTTCCAAAAAAAAATATGAATTAATATTTAATTATACGTAATAGTATAAGTAATGCATATTCTATTAAATTGGTTCATAAGTATGTTCTATTCTTTCTAATTAAAAGTACGAAAATACAGTTCAAACCGTACGAATTTATTGGATAATCGGATACAACGTATTATATACAATATTATGAATTAAATGTAAATATGTCTTCATAGCTCAGATGGTAGAGCGCTCGTTCGGCAAGCG